ACTTTAAAATGCACTTTTATATCTATACACGCGTCCATTACAAGATGTTCTACAACGATTATCAAGGTCCTTCACGGGATGCAATGCGATCTACTTTCGCTCAGGGTAGAAAGAGCGATTTTAAAAAACACCACCCGTGAACAACCAATACAGCCTATCGATATCAACTGCCGAGAGATGCTAACTGGGTTGTTACACAACTCGGAATTGCATTTCGCAGAGTTTGCGACACGCGTGGATGGAGCATCGAACCCAGCTCTCGGGCCCCCCCTGGGGGGCAACGCGACTCGCATCGTTGGCCGTGGCACGCGGCACACGAGAAGTCGCACGAATCCTTTTCGTTCTCACGTATGGACACTGCCCCCTGCTGGAGTGAAGCTTCGGCGTCGCGATGATATTTTTTACCGTTCTGCTTGATGCCATTCCCGACTGGACGTATGCATGTCTGTATGAGATCATTTCAGTTTGTTAAAAAGGTGGCCCTGAAATGTTTTGCTCATGCCACCGCTGGTGGCCACGAAATGTTTTGTCCACTCGTTGCAAGTTGGTCAGCTGTGGGAGGATTTACCCACACTTCACCCCACCACTGCGGTGAAGCCATTCATGCTGCCGTGTGGACAGGCCGTGGGCGAGGGGGTGTTGAAGAAGCTTGCCCCGGGTTATTTCAACTGCGATGCCGGGAGATTGAATCGGACCGGCGACTTCTGGATTGCAAGTGAAAGTGTGCTAACCGGTAACACCATGGCAGCATTCCAGTTTAGTTTTTTGAGAACGATGTTAAAAGCCCACATCACTCTTATCTCGGATTATGAATTATAACCAAGCAATCTTTTTAATTGTACCAAGTCTTAGCGATGGGCGCCACGGTGGTGAGGAGTTGACTACCACGCCTCGTATACAGGAAGTCGTGGGTCTGATCCCGACGCCTGTATAATTGGAGTTTGCGTGTTCTCCCCGTGGTCGCGTGGATATTTCTCCGGGTCCTCTGGTTTTCCCCTCCATATTTATAATCATGCGTTTAGACGATTTGGCTGCTATAAATGTTCACACGAAGAGCCACTTTGTTGAGCTGTCATGTGTGATAGTCAGGTCGCTTCTAAAACAAGAGCTGTACAGCTCAGTGGGCCTTCACTGGTAAAATAAAATAAAAATTAGAGCTGAATGTTGGTTTAGAAACAAACAAAAATGTTAGTTTGCTTTATCTTACCACTTTCACGTTGTGGGGACACTGCGTGTGAAAACCAAACGCATTAAAACAGTTCACGTACATAGTGATATTTTATTAATTGTAATTTTGTATAACTATCAACTAAAGTAACTATGTTTGGAATTCGGTATCTTTGGTTTGATGTCTCAGTTACACCTGACATGGTTTGTACTTAGCCCTTTGAGCCATTGACCCAATGGCTAATTGGTACCATCCTGTATGGCAAATGCTATTTTTAAAAATTGCATAATATTATCTAGCATATACAGAGCATACAGAGTATATGCTAGCAAGGCCGCTCGGCACGGAATGGGACCGACCGCGCGTGACAAATTTTTGCTTTTGGAGAAATAACGAATCCCGAATTAACCGGAACCCCCGTGGAATGTGAAAATCAAACAGCGGCTTCATGAAACAGATGACACCTGTGCTCACTTCTCTTTGTCCCACAGACGACACTGCCCATCGTGCACACCCCAGCTGGGAGCGGCCAGCCCCCTTGGCTCACGCGGTTCGCATCCTTTAGATGTATTTACACCGACAGTTGCTGTACATTCTGCGTGAATTAATACAATCCACGCGTTGCCTGTAATCGCAACGTCTCGGCTGGATGCCGCAGCTGGATTCTCATCTGGCTCCTTTAAATGTAAAACGAATGTCTTTGTAACTGCTGCTTGTTGTTGTTGTTGTGTTTAGTGTTGGTGTCCCCCCCCCCGCCCCGCACCTCCAATTAGCACGGTTAGCTTCGTAACGGTGGTGCAACATACATTAGAGAAGTTCAACATACACACCAAGCGTACATTACAGAAGATGATCGATCACTGTGTAACAAAAAAATTGTTCCTGGGTACTGTTATTTCCTAATTGCTTATACCTCAAAAGTACAGAAATTGGCTCTTATTCCCCAAAAACTTTGCTTTGTGACCAGGACACAAAAGCAAAGTTAATAATCCACTCCATCAATATCACTGTGTAACAAATGTATTTATTTTTTGTTCCTGGGTAGTGTTATTTCCTAATTGCTTATACCTCAAAAGTACATAAAATGGCTATTATTCCCCACAAACTTTGCTTTTGTGACCAGGACAGTGATATTTTTAAATATATATACTTTCAAAGAGAAAACGTGATGTGCATTTGTATCTTTGGTTCACATTAAGAGTCAGAATATTTACTTATACCGCAGGAATCCGATGAGCTATAACGCTCTTTGTCGCAGATATCTAGAGGGTGCACGTAAAAACATTACCACAACGAACAATACAAGAGAGGGTAACACATCACTCAAGAACAAATTAAACTAAACCATCCCCAACCTACCAGGCAAACCCCACTGAGCTATCAACTTGTTTTTCAGAATCAACCTGGCCACAAATGATAGCTCAACAAAGTGGCCCATCAGTTGGACACGGGACACTTTGTTGAGGCTCACGTGATACAGTGCTTCTTAAGCTTTACTGCAGCCTTGCACCCCTTCAGTTCTAAATCGTTAAAGAAATGTTAATAGACAGGTTTGATGAAACAGAGTAGTTGTATTCTTGGTTCTTTCGGTAAAGTCACGTAGAAGGGAAATAATAAAATAATATAAATATAAAACAATAGAAATTCTCACGACGTTTCGACTGCAACACAAGAAATCGTCATCAGGTGTGAAATCCACAGCAAGAATATTTGAAAAAAGGTGGTTTTATATTAATATTATTTTATTATTTCCCTTCGACTTGACTTTACCGAAAGAACCAAGAATATGAATTCCTGCAGTCACGAAAGCTTTAAATCAAAAGAGTAGTTGTACTTTCGTGCCCGTGCTTAATTTGTGTGATCGATTATTCGCCTTCTAAAAAAACAGTCTGGCCGTGTCTCGCAACCCCAGAAAGGGCATCTCGCATCCCCAGGGGGTTCAGCGTGCACCCCAAGTTAAGAAGAAGAACCACTGCCCTAGACCATTCTTACACCGGTGCACAAACGACTGTGATTGATCGTTGTCTCCAACAGTCGGCAGCAACAAAGGACTTTTAAAAGTTGATTCTGGAATGAAAAATCGGCCACAATTACAGCCTCTTTGCAAACGACAGCAACAACACCTCGTCGTGGGCATCGACACGTGGCAGCCTGGCAATTCCATCCCATGGATCTACATTAACGTCACCTTAGCAACCAGCCCCTGTATTTATGGAAGCGACCAGAACATTTGTGGGCAGCAGGAGGCCCGGGGGGTAAGTGACGGAGTGAGGGTGTTATAAAAGTAATCTCGGGGTGCATGAATTGCCTCACCCTGGCATTATCAAACGTGATTGGATATCGGGATCACGGTTAACTGATGTCTCCCCCCCCCCCCACGCTTGCACTCTCCCTCCCTCTCTCTATATGATGCTATAACAGCTTATTTTATGTCCGTAGTGTTGATATACTATGACTGTAATATAGGGTAAACTGTAGGAACGTTTGGCACCGGGTGATGGTTCGCACACTGGACTCACAATCCCGCTCCGCCGACTAGCACTTTTGGCTACGTACGGCGCAAAAGAAGTTCAACACACACACAATCCAGAGGTCGCCGGTTCGATTCAATCTCGCGGTTGTGAAAACGCGATTACGTTTCTCAAATCCCTAAGATTGTCCTGCAAGCATGGCCACACGAATCTAAAAATTTTTACAGCTCTTTCTTTAAAAGCTTTTCAGAAGGTACCGGAGTTGCCCAGTACCATAACATTCTGTCCATGGAACGTACATGGTATTCTTGTCACCACATAATTGACACCGGAAAATTATTAAAACACAGGGGTCATTAAGCAACACAATCAAGCGTTGTCCACACGGTGAATGAGTTATGACGGGATGGTATGACTTGGTACAACTCGGAACGTGGTCTAAAGTTACTTAAAATAGTGTGAGCACTCATGGCATCCATACATCTTACAAGTAGCCAAACCCTAGCCGTGAGAAAATGACGTCAGAGCAAGCCCGATGGAAGGAGCGCGTGTACAGACACATTCACACGCGGCATTGCCAAGTGTCGCACACCCCCAGTGTTGCAAAGTCGCCAAATGAACCTCACAAAGTCGCTCTGTAGATCTTCTACAGGCGTCAAAATGGCAACGAACAATTTACCAAAATTTACACCGATGAGTGGTGATTAACCGTCCTTGTGAGTGCGAGGCAATGAGAGGCCCATCAACTACAGTATCTACGTTTAATTTTATCACCTAATCCAACACTCCCACTTGCATGACATCGGTCCTCCCAGAAGGTCACTGGACTCTGTCTCCTCGACAAAAATGTTGTCGTGAAAGGCACCCAAAGTCGCTAAATTTAGCGGCAAAAATCACCCAGTTGGCAACACTGGCATCACCACAGTGCTTGTACACAGCACAGCGCAGCCTCGAATGTAAGCCTAAAGACATCGCACAAGAAAGTCATCCACTGCTACCGCTGCCACATTGTGCACATGCCACTACCCGTCCTGTAGACTAGTGGCAGAGTCTCTGTGGCCGGCTTGTCGCCTTTGGTGGGTGTTAAGCTAGAGGAATTGCTCGTTGTCAATACATCACTGGAATTGGGATCCGTCAAAAACGAAGCGCCGCTTGCCTGGGCTGCGTGCCCATGGTTTACGCAACGTTCTTCTGACTTTGGATCGAGTCATTCAAGTGATACGAGTGTGCTGCGGACACTCACACACACCAGCCCACATATCGACACCTGTACATCAAGTGGATTGTGAAGCGCACATCGGTTTTTTGGGGGAGCGGGAATGTGGGTGTGTAAATTAGGCACCGTGTACATTTCATATTTGTCAGTGTTATTTATTTCTATAAACCATTTATCACCACAAGGACAATCAAGTTCTGCTCCAAAACCATTTCAACAAATACAAGTTACAAATGAGCTGGAATGCACAATTTTTTTTAAATGAAAACGTGACAAAATATGTAATGTAAAGACGCCACTCGGGGTGGCCAAGAGAGGCTTCCGAGGCAGCGCTGTGGAACGGAGGCACCGTGGAGCCGTGCCTAGTAGGCCGACTGCAGCTCGATGATGATCAGACTCAGCAGCTTTGACCAAGACGTACGCATCTCGGAGGTAAAGCTCTTGCCGCACGTCTCGGTCACGTACTTCAGGATGACTTCTGCAAACGTCTGTGGGAAGAGAGAGGGCGAATATGCCGTGAAGTGGGCGATCATGCATATGCAATATTTGAATAAAATGTAAAAATATAACGACGACGATGATGATGATGATTCCAATGATTTACGGTCCTTAGTCAATCTACTGCTGGATAGAGGCTTGTCGACTCCATGTTGGTCACGGGAGTTGTCTGGTCATACTTCACCATGCGGGTCAGGAGGGGGGGTGGGGGGGGTGCCCAGGATCGGTCCACGCATCACTCGCCACTCGTGTTAGCAGTGGCCAAGAATCAAACTCGGGTGGCTGGGTTCACAGCGGAGTGCCACAAACCTCTGTGCCAAAATAATATCTCACTTTACAAAGTTAAGTGCGACATGGCTTTGTCTCGGGGCTTCATTTACATCGAAACATTACCGCGATGATACAAATACATGAATGAGCATGTTCTGAAGCAAAATGTAAAGGCAAAATAAATAAATAAAAGATTAACGTTTAAACTCTGCTGCTTGTTTAACAAAGTCTTCAAATTGAATTCTCGTGTGCCAATTCCTATTTGATTTAATTCAAAAAGACAGCGTACACGTGGCCGTATTTAACGTCTAGCAATGGCAGAGAAGACAGGGAGGGCTCCCACTATGGCTGTCCGCGTGTGCTTTCGGGTCGCACTGCGAGTTACAGCCGCCTACCTGCAGCCGCCTACCTGCAGCCGCCTACCTGCAGCCGCCTACCTGCAGTCGCCTACCTGCAGCCGCCTACCTGCAGCCGCCTACCTGCAGTCGCCTACCTGCAGCCGCCTACCTGCAGTCGCCTACCTGCAGCCGCCTACCTGCAGTCGCCAACATGCAGCCGCCTACCTGCAGCCGCCTACCTGCAGTCGCCAACATGCAGCCGCCTACCTGCAGCCGCCTACCTATAGCCGCCTATCGCTCGCTCCACGTGCTGGAGAGTTCCATGAGAGGCCGAGTGAGATGAATGGCACGGCGCCCAACACCCTCGCGGCACAGCGTGACAAAACAACAACGGCAGTAGCACGGGGGGCCGACAGAGCACAGCCGTGAGGACACCCCCACGCCCGCAACAATTCGATTTTACTGGACACTGCGAAAAAAATGGGCAAAGCCCAACAAACAAAATCTACAGGTTTGGTAATAACATGACGGAGAGTAACAATGCAACACATTCCAGGGGTCCCTCGAGTGTGTCTCGCGGGTGTAGTTGACACGAGGTCAGTGTCGCTGTTTGGTATCTTGCTCTGGAAACCCTTTGACCTTCCCCACGGAAGTCCCCACACGTGGAGCGAAGCTCCAAAACAAAAGTCTTCATGGCTTGCAAAACAAAATACATGACCTCATCTTGAAGGCAGGTTCTTGCTCAGCAGCGAGTCATTTGCAAACTTTATGGCATGTGTCAATAAAAAAGGCTTATCGCAAAAATGCAGGTGTGTGTTCATTTTTCACGCTGATAAAGAAGGCAACATATTTCGTGCGACATCACATGACGGCAAGCTGAGCAATGCTGTTCATACCCATCTGTCTCAAATATTATTTGATTATATATCTCTTAAGCATGCTTAAATGTAAATGGCTTCCATTCAAGTTTTTTCCCTTCTCTAAAATCCTTACGGGACTTGGGACACGTGTTGATGAGAGAGAGAGAGGAGGATGCAATGAGGAGGGGGCTGCAATGAGGAGGGGGCTGCGGAGATGGCACCGGAGAAAGACAGAAGGAGGCGAGGGAGACCCGAGGGTGAGGCGGGAGGATGCGGTGGAGCGAGATTCGAGGAGAGTTGGGACGTGGCTGGAGCAGGGGGCCCAGGAATAGAAGCTGATGGAGTGGATTTTAATATTAATAATAATAGTAAATATAAATATAATCTTTTCAATAATATATAATATAATCTTTTTTAATAATATAAAATATAAAAATAAATATTTATAATAATATAAAATATAAATATAATATTTATAACAATATATAATATAAATATAATCTTTATAATAATATATAATATAAATATAATCCTATGCGCAAGAATGTATATTTATAATTGCGTGCAAATGATGTGCTGATGAAGGAGGCACGCACTCCCCAATTTTCTTGCGACTTAATTTCCTTGCGACATATGGCTTAGAAGATGATTCCTAACAGGGGGTCCATTACAAAATAAACGTGTTATACAAGTGGTCTCTCACTTTGTTATGTTATTAAAATATTGCATGAATGATGAAAGCAACAACAAAATCGATGGTGATGATCACTTGAAGGTTTCATCATGTTGGGATGTGGCTCTGTGTTATTCTATGACACAGAGCTGCAAATCTTCGCCCTCTACTGGCAGACTAATGCCCTAATCGCAGGCCGGTGACGAGTCGCACCAGACCCCACGCGGACCAGCTGTCACTCGGCCTGCCCTGTAAATTATATTCGAGATGAGTTGTGGTGTGAGGTGCCATGATTTGCTGAGGCATTTAAGTGTCCTCTAAATGCCAGTAGAAGTGGAAAAAAAAGTTGCACGTATGAGAAGACCTGATGATGCAGGCAGTGATGAGAAGGAAACTGGCACTATTTGGACACATTTATAGAAAGACAGACAGACAGCAATAGGAAAATAAATAATGTGTTGTTTGGAAAAATGGAAGGAACCGGAACGAGAGAAAGACGTGCACCACGGAATTGCTTGACGACGACATCACAAGAGATTGGTGCCAGAAACACGTGGCACCACGTGAGCATCCTGGCACAAGACAGAAAGGAAAGTGGAAACAAATGACGAAATGTGCAGTGGACCACCTACGGGCTCTCTGCCCAATGGACCGTGATGATGATGTAAACGCCAAGATTGCTGTTATTATTATTCACATTGAAGTAGTTGAGGTGGTTCGGGCACCTGGTAAGGATGCCACCCAATATACTCCCCCTGGAACTCTGCCGGGCAGCAGCAGCACGTCCCACTGGGCCAAGACCCCGGGCCGGCCCAGCACACGCTGCTGCTGGCAGGACGATGTCACTCGGCTGGCTTGGGAACGCCTGGGAATTCCCCCCAGCCAGAGCTAGAGTCTGAGTATAGTAGTGTAGTAGTGTATAGTGTAGTAGTGCATAGTGTAGTGGTGTATAGTGTAGTAGTGTATAATGTAGTGTATAGTGTCGTGTATGGTAGTGTATAGTGTAGTGCATAATGTAGTAGTGCTGGAGTCTGTCGCCAGGGAAAGGGAGGTGTGGACCGCCACTCCTCGACACGCTGCTGCCACGACCCTCACCAGGACAAGCGGACCGAGAAACGGACGAACGAACCTTGAAGTAGGCGGGCTCGACGTTGAATTGCTGAGCGTGTGATGTGCTCAGGTCCTTCAGCTTGTTCTTCTGCTTGTCGGGGTCGTCCAGATTGAGCACAGCTTGGTGCACGGCCGCCAGGATCTTGTCGCCATGGACGCGGACCTCCGCTGAATTCTCCAATTCCTCGGCCGTTTCGAGGCCTTTAAACTTGGGAAAGAATTTCTTCGCCTCGGGGTTGTTGATAATGAACCTTGAAAATGGAAAAGAGAAAGGCACGTACATCTGAACAGCATGCACTGCTACGTCACTTAAAATAATAATATAAGGATAACACTAAACCATATATTTACAATTGTCAACGTAAACTCACTAAAGCCAGACAATACAGCTGGCACACATGGTAGGTAAAACTGACTAAAGACATTAAACAATCTATTCAATTTTTTTATGGTCAAGCCAAATGTGCTATTATGGCTTATGCTACAATTCTGTCACGGTAAGTTTTATAGTAAAAGTCACGGCCGAGTTGCGGAACAATAACAACAATACATCTGTGACCTCCGTGCCAAAATCATAGCCTCACTAAAATGGCACATTCTTCATGGTGCACGCCTATCGTCTCTCCAGCAATGTGCGTTCCAGTATATCCTCGGTACAAGGAGCTTCACATTTAGTGCCCCACCCAATGCCACTTGTGAACGGTCGCCATAACACATTTATGTTGTTGTTCGAATCCTACCTCGCTAAAATTTTGACCCCTGCATCTTGGTGGCTATTGTTAAAAATGTCCCAAGATTCTCGAAGAGCGGCCTTTTCATCTTCCTTGAAACTGCTCACGATTCCTGAGTCCTGCAGGGCACCCATTGCGAGCGTGTGCGGCTTACAGGGGCGAGCTCGCAAACCGGTCCCGAGCGACCATTCGCACCGGACTTATATCGGGATCGTGAGCTTGCTTCATGCGTGTGTTGTAATGCCATGCGGTCAGGATCCGTGTTGCAAGATACTCTCGCTGTGCACGAAACAAAGTGTCTGCACGCCGCTTATCTTTTATTCAACAACAAAAAAGTGAAATGTGACATTGAAAATATGTTTTTTTAATTCATCTTATCCGCCATGATGCGGGACGGGGACAGACATCGCAGATCCCACTCTCCGTGAAATTTTGCTCCACTTCTCCGCAGAAAAATTGCAAACAGAATATTCCGTGCGACTCCTCGTGTCCATGAACAAATAGCGGGCAGGAGGAAGTCGTCCAGAAACATAGGACAGGAAACCCCACGGATAATAGGAATAGGGGGAGCGAGCCTTTTTGCAGACCCTACAGCTCCCTTGAATAGAAGTCTCGCAGATTATGGGGTCATGGATAAGAGGAGTCATTCTGTATATAATCATCACGAAAGCTTTCAGTCAATCCAAGACTGATGACAATTTATAATATCGCTCAGTTCGGAAAAAGTTAACTTCCTTTGAAATCAAACGTAAAACATCGCACACTTCAGCAAGGATGACACTATGAGAAAAATCCAAACACAACCTGTTTGACAATCATTCTACGAAAGCCCGTTTCAACGACGTATCATCTTCAATGGGGGACGCTATCTAGCAAACAAACAAAAAAACAGACCGTTCAGCATTGCTGTAATAAGTGACATCGCGTTTTAGAGATACCATCCCTTATCACAATGGGCAGGCCAGGGTGTCGCGCTACCAAAGGCACTGCAATCAAATGATCGTCTATGATAGAGCCCCGCCGCTGTGAGACACGTGTGTGTGTTTGTGCATACTGCAACAAGCGGGAGATTAGATCAGGCGAGAACAAAATCGTGATTGCTCGCAACTCTCACAAAGTATTGCAGCAAGCAGCGGCCATAATCAGATTTTACCGTTTCACGCTTACAAAACATTCCAAAGAGAGCACTTCAGAGTAATATGCCCAACATATTAGCCATTCAAATAACGCTACAGCAAACCTGTCAACCGCTTATCAGTGCCCTACCTTATTACATACCAACTCAGACCTTATTGGTCACCCCGTGCCCTTAGAAATCTCAACGTTCATCCTACAAAGTCCCATCACAAGGGAGAAACACGAACAGACGAAACAATGTGACTACAATTCAGATTTTTTTTGGCCCAAATTTAAACGGCTGTACGCAGTATGGACCTCAAAACGCAATGTCCCAACCCCGTGACGACCCGCGCGGGTTGCCACGGGGTTGTCAAAGCCACAGCACACAACGCGCTCTGAATCGCGTGCAGTCGCATGCCGACTTCGCTGCGGCTGAAGCGGCTTAGGACATTAAATATAGCCCCCACACACACACCAGCACCACCAGCACACACTAAGCGGGATTATGAGGGCATGTGTTGATGCGGGCATACACGAGAGCTGTGCGTTTTCTCTGTAAGGCGACTGCTGGTGTTGCCGCCGCTGCTGCTGCTGCCACTTGGAGGGCAGCCCGCGTCATGTGCACCACCATTGTGGTCATCAGCACCCTCGTGTACCTGGTGCGCAGGAGGTTCTTCAACAAAGTGGGGCCGTGAGTCCGCAGTGCCTCCTCGCGGCGTTCGCTCTGCGCCTTGCCTCTACGTGGTCACGTTTAATGATTAATTGTGCAAGCCGGGGGCTCACTTCGCAGCCTACAAAACAACAACAACCTTGCAAGCCGCTCGGTCGTATCTCTTTGTATGTTGTTGTTGTTTCGATTGTTTGAGAAAAAAAAGAGTATAAAACCTCTTTTTCAGACTCCATGAAGAATGCAATTTAAGGTCCAAAGGAGCAGCAAATGGAATTGGTGTTCAAAATGGAACCCCGCCTTAGCTGTGCATCGACAACATCCCCAGCAGCTGCCTACGGGAGAGGTATTCATGAGATCTTGATTGTGTAATGACGCTGCATTCTCTTGCCTACTACAAACTAAAAAAAAGACACGAATGAAGCAATGGTTTAATCGTGAACGAGCATAGGCAGGTTGTGTTTCATTTGGTGGACTGTTAGAAAAGATTCTGCTCCAGCGAGGGTCACGTTTTGCTTGCCACGTTTGGCACCAAGTGTCAGCCAGCCACGGCATGGTGGTGGAGTTAGAATTATATATATGTGTGTGGACACGTACACATGCGTTCGTGCGGCACACACACACACACAGGAATAGAATGATTAACAGCGACAATTGAACTGTAAGTGATTTGGTACTGGAATCATAAAGTTCGATTAAAACAACAATAGACGCAGATGTTATGCATTGGGTAAAACATATTAATTTTAAAGGTACAATTATGGCAGGGCCCATATTAATGGCGTGATAATTATTGTCTCATCATGATCACAATAAGTGTATTTGACAAATTGCATTACATAATAGCGTGTCTTTATTGTACATAAACATGTTATACCACTTAATGTGGTGCTGTATGTATGAAACAACCCCACTTTACTGGGTTTACCGCATGCAAGAGCTCATCTTTTTTTTGTTAAAGAAACTTAACGAGATTACGACAGCAGCACCCATCCTGGATGTTAACCAACATTAAGACCATGCTGGATGTTTGTTAACCAACATTAACACTATGTCCATTAGTCAGCAGGTGGCACTGTTATCCCAACGGAAGGTGCAGTATAACAACGTAATGTAGGGTTGGTCGTCTTGCAACAGCCACGACTGGGCCATGACATTACAAAGCAGCATTACCCTTGTACCTATGTTTGTTGAACTTCTTTCGCGCGCTACGTAGTAGGTGCGACATCCTTGCATTGTCTTGCAAGGGCGGAGAACCATTGTCTTTACTGGGGGCTCATTGGGACTTTACAATACCTCTGCCTGGCCACACAATAGCACACGCACCACCGGCGTGTTTATCCAACAGCATCGCAAACAATCATTGGGGGTTCACTTCTACCGCACTAACGAGATGCCTCCCACCTGCTCTTCCCTCTCTCACACAATATCGATTTGGTTCCAAAGTCGACATGCGCACGTGGTTTTTAAGATTCACCCGAACACGGCAGCCGAGATGCAGCGAGGGATACGCGTCATTCGGGGTGCCCGTGTCAAGGTGTTTTGAGGTCGGACCACGCGTTGTTCGCCAAGATGTCCAACGCTCTCGCTCCGCGTGCTGTATGAGCTTCTTCGGGAATGGAATGATGTCGGTCATCGTGCCGAACAACCCGCGGTGCAACCAGAAAGACATCGGATGTATGTTGAACTTCTTTCGCACCGGACGTAGCCAGCCGCTCTAATCGGAGGTGTGGGGGGACGGGACAAGCTAGACACAAAAAGCGGTTTCTACATAAATGCGTTTTCAATCTAGACGATGTAAAGATGCATAGCTCCAGGTGGCCTCCTAGCATCGGAGAGCTACACGGCACAAGCGCGACAAACTCACCTCAAGTCGTACATTTGCGGACCATTTCGATGTGACCGGGGCAGATTTGTGTGGCCGCGAGGTAGATGAAATGAAGTCGTTTGGGGCGTTATCTCACCCATGGGTTGCCCACCACCCACCCCGTGAAGTAGCAGCAGCAGTCGTGTACGGTGAGCAGTGCCGGATCATCCTCGTAGCACAAGTAGCTGCACAGGCTACGGGCCCCGCATTTTCAAGGGCCCCGTGCTAAATTATTTCAAGCTATCAATTCCGGTTTAGTGATTCTGCACTTGCTCTATTACTATAGTACTATACCGCTTTCAACTTTTATGAACGACTGGGTGTTTAAGGTTAGCGATTTGTCGTATTATCCGGCTGTATAGCAAATGAAAAAATACAATTAATAAAATAATAAAAATAGAACATAATAAAATACAATTCTCACGACGTTTCGGCCACAACGCAAGCAGCCGTCCTCAGGTGAAAACCAGGTCCGTCGAGGCGACAGAGTCTGAATGAAACAGCACACGAGCTTGGAGCATATATATATAAGCTGGGCGCATTGACAAAGGAATTTGCATATCAAAAGGAATTTAGCATATTTATGGGGAATGCAGGAATGTGATTAGTACTGCATATGCATGTGCATTATGCAGGATTAACAACATCAAAGGGAGCTGCAGTTTTATTTTTTTATTATTTTATTACTTCCCTTCTACGTGACTTTACCGAAAGAACCAAGAAGATGAATCCCTGCAGTCACGAAAGCTTTAAATCGAAATAAAATACAATTACTTTACTATGCAAGTAAATCAATTGTGTTTTAATATTTGTGTCTTTTATTTAGGGCCCCTTTATAACAAATGCTATACGCCCCGCACCAGCTTAATCCGGCACTGACGGTATGCGGTTATTGTGAATGACATTCGCAAACTGCTCTTTCAGATGTTGGCCGCGGTATGCTGCGTGCTTAACCGCACGCCCACCGCCTGGAATGAAATGAAGGATCCATCCACCCAGCAGTAGCAGCCGGTGGCGAGCGCCCGACACGAAGTGGGGGTATAGGAGGGTAACGTGGCACCTCATTTGCTCACCACAGCCATTCCCACGGGCGGCGCAAATGTTTCAGCACCGCGTTTTCACTCAAGGCCAGCGGCTTGCATGTGTCACTAAACAATGTTGGAGAACGCGCGGGATAGATGATCGTCGCTGTTCGGGCCACAATTGGCTGTGCCTCTCAAGACACCGGTCAAAATCAACAAGCGACGTTAACGTCATTGTTACTGCTGGCTGTCATCAGCAGCCGTGATCTATCCACTGCTGGGCGAAGGGCTCTCCTCCCCCACCCACGAAGTTGCCATCGTTTACGATCCGACGGTGAACACAATCCACCAGAGCTGCTTCCTCGTTGCTTCATCTCCACGGTGCACGTTCACGCGGGGGGAGTGTGCGCATTCACGCGGTTCCGTCCTCCCGGCGTGAGTCTCGAGCACACCAAAGCCACCATCCTCGACAGCGAGTGACGTCTCCCGGCCCAAGCGAGTGCGCTTAGGGGCCATCCATTTAATCCACGCAGAAACGATCAAGGATTATACGGGATTAATAATATTAATGTGTTTAAGCAAACAGATAGTCCACCGCCGGACTATCTAAACTCATTTGAAGGCCAATGTAGACAAATTATTATTGAGGCTTCAGCCCCCCCCCCCCCCCCCGGTTCCTATGCATACGTACATATTTCTAGATTTGAAGCTTTCGTGACTGCAAGGATTCATATTCTTAGGTTTTTTCGGTAAAGTCACTTGATACAGCTATCGTGCTGTGACGGTTCCACCTGAAGACGGAAGCTTGTGTTGCCTCCGAAACGTCGTTATTTTTATCTTCTTGGTTCTTTCGGTAAAGTCACGTAGAAGGGAAGTAATAAAATAATAAAAATAAAACATAATAAAATAATTCTCACGACGTTTCGGCCACAACGCAAGCAGCCGTCCTCAGGTGAAAACCAGGTCCGTCGAGGCGACAGAGTCTGAATGAAACAGCACACGAGCTTGGAGCATATATATATAAGCTGGGCGCATTGACAAAGGAATTTGCATATCAAAAGGAATTTAGCATATTTATGGGGAATGCAGGAATGTGATTAGTACTGCATATGCATGTGCATTATGCAGGATTAACAACATCAAAGGGAGCTGCAGTTTTATTTTTTTATTATTTTATTACTTCCCTTCTACGTGACTTTACCGAAAGAACCAAGAAGATGAATCCCTGCAGTCACGAAAGCTTTAAATCGTCGTTATTTTTATTTTATTTTTTATTTTACTTTTATTAACTTGAATTTTTTACCTACGTGACTTTACCAAAAAAACCTAAGAATACGTACGTACATAGTCAATTGACCCCCCATACGCAAGGGTACGCGTTTGGGTGAACCCCCCTGCCACTCCACGCGTGCGTAGTCAATGGATGGCCCCTTTCGGAGTGGGTGGCTTTTTTGTGTTTGTTATTATTATTGACATTTAAATTTTTAAAAAGCGTACGTTTAACAACCGAAACGTGTGAAGTCTTTGTTACCTTCATGAACAAAATAGTATCCAGTAGTCTAACTCGGTAAGATAGTAATGCATAACTCACAGTGGATCATCGTCAGATGATCACGAAATTAACGTTATTTAAAATAGCTTCTTTTTGCACATTCTTGCATATAATATTTTTTGATATTGTGTGTATGGTTTTTTGTGCGTTTAAAATGGGTTTACGACATGAACTTGGTATAAAAAACGTACAAATAGACAAAAAATATCCTATGAAAAAAAAGTTCCCGTATTTACTCTGCCGTACTTACCACTCCAATCTCGAAGACTCTGCATGGGGCGATGTACGCAGTACACCACCACTACTACTACTCTCTTGATTCAACACAACCACGGTGGGTGTTTGACAATAGCCAGACTGGGTAACAAACAGCCTTTGCAGCGGTTTCGGCGGATCGGTCCGGGACCGTCGGACAATCGATGATCAAGTGTCGTTTCATCCACTTTCAAAGGAGAATCGTCCACTTTCATGAGTAATTATCTGTATGATAATTCCCGCATTGTGGGTTCGTTCCATGACCTATGCGAGTGTAGATCCCACGCGCCTCCACGTGGTCATCGATGCACTTTTCAACTTTTTTCCCCCATGTTCTTTGTCGCTGTCCATGTTTCTTTTCCATATGTCACAGTAGGTAATTGATACATATATCGACCTGCTAGAACATATCAATGTTATATACTGTACAGATTAAAACGGACTTGTTTATGAACATTGAAATGCGTCGCCTTCCACTGCTAAGTTCAGTTCTCTAAACTCATTCCACGCTGCTCTCTCCTCTGCATTTGTACCCCCTGACGATAATTGCCCAAGTATCACCCCCCTCCAACCGTGTTCCTCAAAAACAACATTTTCTATTGTTAGTGGCCCTGTTGCAGGGCACTTTTGTTTTGCGAATTCGCCCCCGAGCTCTACTTTTGCAGCGCTGTTTGTCAAGTTCTTCGATCAATCCGCGACGACAATTCACCACTGCGGCTGCAATTTAGCGGCTGCTGCCAGCAGCAAACCCCGACTCGTTAATCTCGTCTCGATTCACGCTTATGCCTCTTTTTTTGGGGGGGATATCTCCCAATATCATTGAGGTTGTATCTCCGCGTCGAAACTCGCCGTCCGATGAGTACTTTGTGCATTCCTCCACGTTATTTTGACGATTCCAACGGTTTTTTTATAGCACACGCGCGTATCCGGAGCATTGCTCATAAAATAATCCGCTCTGCTAATATTGCCCCCGAAGTAACCAACACGGCTCTCCGCAGCCATCGACTCCACCCTTTGCCAAGGGTGGTGCCAGAGTGACCCAATAATAACTTTTATTGCCGCTACCACCTAGGAACGAAGGGAAGAGTGATCCAAGTCCACTAACTGCAGGGCTCGCTGAGTCACCGCCACCCACACGCGCCTACCCGCGTCACCTTTCCTTGGCCTCTCCTCCCACACAATAAATGTTGACATTGGAGCAACGGCCACACCTATTTCATGTCTCAGGCGCACACCGACGGCTCTTCCTGCACAGTCTCGAGAACGCTTTAGAAGGCAGCTTTCGCCACAACATGTTTTTGTTGACATCTTTGCATCGACAGGTCACGTCTGCTAGTCGCTCGACTGACACGAGGGGTGATGAAGTCGTGATCAGCCGTGCGTGCTGCAGCCGCAAGTGGCGTGGACTTCGTGAACGTGATTGAGCTCAACACAACTCGCACGCATACTTTATTTCACAAATGGAGTGTCAGTATTGTGCTTTTAACCAAATGGTAACGAAAGTATACATATACACAAACGCAAATAATTTTAAATATAAATGTTCATGTATTTTACATTATCATGATGTATACACAAACTGACATTTCGTAGTATTGCATGAATACTCTTGATTAGTTAGATTTTGCATGACTATAACTTTACGAAATTATACTGTAATAATGTTAGAAACAGCCTTAATTGGGTCACACTGCAGTCTCCCGTGACGCCAATCCCCTGATGATTGCCTGTTACATTGCATGCACTCTGACCACATTTCATACCCAAACCGACATGCAGATGCTGGTGTCTCTCTAACCCCCGTGGGCTCCCATCTTTAGTTTTTTACCCCTGGGATTTACCGTAATAGCCTTGATGAACACCTCCTTCAGTCTCACCCATTCATTATGCTAATATGCTACTTAATAGAATTAACTTTTAAACGATTAAATTCTTATTTTAATGATTAATTTGGTCACCTCCGATTAGCACGGTTGGGTTACGTACGGTGCAAAAGAAGTTCAATAGACGTACGCGCGTGTGTCGTACAACACTTACCGTCCCTGTTTATTGTGTTGCTATTATAATTTTAACTTTGAAATGTGTAGATGGTTATCTATATTCACTGCCATCTGGACATGAAAGCCTGACGTAAACACAGGGGGTGGGAGGCTCCGTGTTCCTGATCATATTTCACGGCTCGTCGGATCACCGAGGGAAAGTCCTTGACCCTGAAATTGTCCCGAAGGAAGTGGTTAATGAATGACAGAAAACGAGACCAGGCCAAAGGGGCCATCCCTGTCTCAGGCAAGCCAGCCACCTCCTCGCCATCTCAGGAGCAGCCGACGGGGTTGACTTGGCAGAGGGTGGGAGATGGGGGAAAAATGATATGGCCTACCTTTGGTAATCCTGCATGGAAGAGTAGGCCAAACACCCTGGAGAGGGGCTGTCTAGAGCCCACTCTAGGGGGAGACCCTTCCGCCAGCAGAGACACGAGAGCGAAATTTCAGAATTGCACCTTTAACGTGCAGTTGTCCACGTGCTTTCAGGAAGGGAATTAAAGGAAGCAGTCACTAGAACTTGTAACTTGGTTTTTCAATACAGTACTGGGCTGTCTAATCTCTCCTGTCAGAATTACAAATATAACACCGGTCAACACACTTTCTCTGGCATAAGGTATTCCAACGGTTTTAAGGTAATTTTGGGGTGCTGATTCCAAATCTGGCATCAGTTTTGTCTATCATATCAGGTTTTTGAGATATCAAATATTGCATTTTCAATCAAAACTGCAGAAGAAAAATATTAAATAAATGTGGATATTTACATAAAATGATATTATAAACACACAGTTAATTTCGGGTAAAATCAATGAAAATGGGGTATGATAGAGCAAATCTGAGATCAGATTTGGAATCAGCACACTGAAATTAGTCTAAAACAGCTGCAAAAGTCCAGGCCAGAATTTTTTTTTTGTTGACCAGTGTAATTTTATACATGTGCATCGCGTTTAAAAGCGATTTCACTGTATCAACATCAAAACTTATCCACGTCACCATCAAACCACCAACGACAACCGTTGCATCAAATGCCGGCGGCGAAGACGAGAGCAGCGTGTGTCAGTCACAAGGACACCGACTTGGCGGGCGTTAGCGCGGGTGAAGCGACGGGGGTCTTGAAATGTGCCGCCGTGAATCACGCGAGGCTGAATAAAAAGGCCCTCGCCGACAGGACGTGCAAGGGAGGGCATTTATAGGCTGGCTTGTTAACCGCGCTGTTTCTTTTTACTGCACGTTGTTACTAACTGGATTTTGGAAATTGTTATATCGGTAACCCAGCAATGCATACTTTTCGTAATAAAGGGGTTTTTTTTGGGGGGGGGAGGTTAGATTGCGTGAATATAAATGTGTCGTTAAACCTGCCACCACCCGACACAGCCAATTAGTAAGGTATGTCACGTCAGAAAAACGCGCCCAATTAGTGACTACTTCAGCCCACCACCGGTGTGTTGGCGAGTAAATCCACAACATTTACAATTTGATGATTACATCCAGCACCACTGGGCGATTTTTCGAGACAATTCATCCGAATCGGCAGGTTTTGTTTACGTGACAAACCTTACTCATTGGCTGTGTCGGATGGTTGCGGGTTAACGACGCATTTATATTTACACAATTTAACCCCCCCAAAAAAGACATGAATTATGAATAATATTGGTCGCGAAAGCCTACGGTGTCAAAATGCATATTTTGTGAGGAAAAACTTCAGCCTGTACTGACACTGTTTTATCTATGTTGCTGTAATTTTGTCCGTGTACATGTACAGCCAGTTCTGTCAATCCACTGCTGGATGAGAGCCTCCCCACACCGTGCAGGCTGTGAGGGTTATGTGACCATACTTCACCACGCTGGTCAGTGCGGGTTGGTGAAGGTGGAATGTGAGTGCAGAACCACAATGGATGTGGCTCCACTGCCCTCTGCTACTGCACGTGTTTATCATACAATAGTGGTCACCCAAACAATATCCAGGCTCACACCTGCTTAGATTCAGAGTTTTGATGGGATTGGGCACATTCTTGTTTTTTGTTCATAGGCTATTTGTAATTTTGATTTGATTACATTTCTACCGCTTGCGATTTTGACAACAGTATGTATTTAGTCTGGTACTTTTATCCTGTAAGCAGTTTGGTTTCCATTACAATGTTTCTTATCATTCCATTGCTCTTCGTGATGTTTACATGTTGTATTTAATGTTCAAGGTCAAAAAAATAGTCAGACTAAGAATACATATTTACGAAGTCACATGTGAAATATCGCATGTCCCAATGTGATATTTGTGTTTTTGTCAAGGCACAATACCAGGGACCATCCCTTTTCCATTTCCAAAATGAAAATTTAAAAGGAATAATTGACCAATACTTTATAATACCTTATGCCTTTGTTCTGAACACAGAAAATATGTTTGTGCAACAGGCATAAGGGCCCGCCCATTTCCTTTAAGCAAACAAAATAAAATTGAGTAGTCTCCAGTGAATCTGATGGAAAAACACATGTTCATAGAACTCCAGTTGCTGGGTGCGCCTATTTTGTCACTTGTAAGAGCCTTTACAGGCAAAAATAATGTTTTAATCTGTTAATCTTGATATTGTTTTAATGGGTTTTTTTTTTCCCTCCGACGATGTTTTATTGTCTCTCCACTGAAAAACAAACGATTGCATGGTCAAGATGAAAAAATAGCTCAGAAAAAACGAGACTACGTGTAAATACCCCCACAATGTTAATGTTTTAACTGACGATACATGGAACAATTTTCGAGGGAAAACTTTACTGTTTAGTTATTTTAGCTGAAAACACTCACCAAAATGTGTAAAGAAGTTTACATAATTTAAATTTATAATTAAGCTCCAATTCAGGATTTACCAAAAAGGAATTAAATTGCCGCTATAAATCGGCGTAGGCTCTGCTAAATATTAAAATAGAATCAAGAGGAGCACACAGGAGTTGGGCATCTCAGTCGTTCAACGGGCGACTCTGGCTAATGTAGCGAACGCGAGCGGTCCCCTATCTCTCGCGAAGACCACAATGGCAACATGTATGCACAATGCGAAACAGACGATTGTTATGCACACAAAAAACAGCAGTCGTAGGAAGTCTGGTGTCTGATGTCTGCATTCCTAGATAACATTGACGAGTCATTTTAGTCTGCCTTAACTGTGGCTTTCTCGTGCAATCATTCCCCACCATTTGGCTTCTTCCCTGGGGTGTGTGCCACTAGAATTCCATTGTGCGTGTGCATCCACAGGGTCTGCCCTAATCAGGGTGGACACGCTCTCTCTGATGGCCTCAAAACATAGATATGTAACCGAAACTATTTTGTATTTTACCAGGTTAGGCCCACTGAGCTATGTAGCTCTTTTCAAGAAGCGACCTGGCCACAAACGATAGCTCAACAAAGTGGCTAATCATGTGGTAATTTACAGCAGCCAAATACTTTAAACGTGTGTTTCTAAATGCGGAGGATCTGGAGAAAAATCCACGTGGCCACGGGGAGAGAGAGACTTGCAAACTCTAAATATACAGCCGTTGTCAGGGTAGGGATCGAACCCTCGACCTCCTGCATACCAGGCGAGGGAGTTAACATCTCACCACCGCGTCGCCCACATATATAGTTATACACAGGGACGCATGACGGCGTTCTGCGAATATGTAATTTTCCAAACACCGCTCGCACAATGAGATTGTGTTCAGTATCGTTTTTGTTTTAGCGTTGAATGGGGTCCCGCAGTATAGATGGAGTGTGGTAGTTGTAAAGTGTGGATATTCCCAGACTCCTGCCCCAGTGTGAAATCGTAGGCCAGTGAACACTCTCAAAGGACTCTGCAGACCTCCTTCTAGCGCAGGGGTCGGCAGCCTGTGGCTCCGGAGCCGCATGCGGCTCTCTAAGGACTGTGTCGTGACCGTTATTTATTAAGGATCACCGTCTCATATTCACATGCAATGTGGCTCTTGAAATATTGAGGGTTTTTTTTTTAGCAAATTCGAAAAAAAAAATATCTTCTCGTTATTTTGGTTGCCGATCGCCCTGGTCTAGTGGAGGCCTTTCAGCCAGCAAGCAATCTTACGGCTTCGCATTTGCCTTGAATACCCATTGTGTGCATTAAACCAACGATTGCGTTACGATTACTCAACCAACACGACTCAATCAAGGAACTAACCGATCAGCCTATAGCAAAGCTCTCTTGAAATTAAGTCTTTGGACTTAATTGAGATTTTTTTTGGCAACAAAATTATCACATTAATTTGTCAATTTATGATTTAGCCCATTACCCGATCTCTATTTGTGATTAGTTTTGACCTCATTAAAATACTACTAAAATGTCATCCCAGTTACTGCATCTTTAAAATATGCAATTTTATTCCAGACAACTCTGTAAATTAAACGAGAGTGCATAATCTGTCACCAGGCAGATCAAACTTCCACATGTTCCAGCGACTCATTAGTGCACTGAATTACACGTGGCTCCTAATTTTAAGGGCAGCAGCAGCAGCGTCCGGAACAAGCATGAAGAGATGCCATTGCAAGCACTGTACAAACTAAGGAGCGTCTTTCATTTGGGTGCAGCTGCCGAAATATCTTTCTACCCTTGCATTCTGCCTGCCTTTCCCTCCCTTCACTATCCCCAACTTCAGATTGAACATCAACACAGCTCCACAAATCCACTCACCATATTCTCCCCAAAGGAATTCCAACAACTAGCTTTCCAATGTGCTTTGGGTTGTACCCAGTGCTGTTCGGTATGATGTCTGAAGGTTCAACTCCGATTAGCACGGTTGGATACATACGGTGCGAACGAAGTTCAACATCCATACATACGAACACGTGGTGCAACCTGAAAACAAATTTGAGAACGAGAAGTCCTCACTTTACCATATTAATAAAAAGTGTGCCGTACTTGGCCCTTCCCCTCTTCAACCATTATATATACGGAGTGGTAGCTCTTGTAATCTCTCATTTACTTGATACAGCTGTCGTGGCTGTGACGGTTCCACCTGAAGACGGAAGCTTGTGTTGCCTCCGAAACGTCGTGATTTTTTTATTTTACTTTTATTAATTTTAATTTTTTACCTACGTGACTTTACCGAAAAAACCTAAGAATATGAAGTCCTTCATGCTTAAGTTGATGATCATGTTCTAGAACATTCTTAAGAGTTCGAAATCTAAAGCCATCGTCTCTGTAACACATTTCTAAAGAAAAAAATACGAGTCAACTGTGAAGCTAACCAATTGTCACATTCTTCACTTTTGTTGAGTGCTATTCTGGACTTTACGCACCACATTATTTATTTATTTCTTAATTATTTGGATAACTGGAGCATCATGCATGTTTTTCCGTCACAAAATGTGTCCAGTCATGTTTAGTAGTTTTGATGAATTTTGGGAAAAGTTGGTCAAATTATTTTGCAGTGAGTGGCCACAAAAACAAAAGCCCTGTTACACATTCGCCCTATGCTGACAATGTAAACACATTATATATGTATAGACTGCATTGGCAAACCGTGCTGCACGATAACAAAAACCCAACACATTCGCCCAAACGACTGCCTTAAAACAGAAAAAGATATACATATTAGCAGATGTTTCGGCACTTGGTGCTTCTTCATAGCAGTGATGGAGCCTAAAAGGAAAATGAATATGCATTCATACTGGAGGAATCCGATGAGCTATAAAAAAGAAAATCACAGATGAGTACCAATCTCAATGAGCCCACGTGGAAGGTTGTAGCTTCTTTGCATGCTGTCCACAAGATTCCACAATACAAAAAGGTCGAAAAGCCATGCCAATATAAACAAAAGAATCTCTCAAACTGAATATATTTTAGGTACTATCCTTTCCATGACATCCATCAGGGAACACGTGACGTGGAATCCGCTCCTATGCAAAGCAACAGTGATGTACTATCCAGGAGATTGCATACCCATGCAAAGAGTCCATGCAGGCAAACAACTGAGCCTTGCTGCTGGCAGAAGTGATCAAGAGGGAGCTGCAGCAGAGTGTGTGGGATTACTCCTCTCGCTGACAAAGATAATGGCTATAGAGGAAACGGTCCCATTGTGGCCACACCAGTTGCTGAACCAAAGGCAAGCTTACTGTGTGCACAGCAAATGTTTACAAAGCAGTTCCTTTTCCACGTTGTCTATAGTCAAACCACAAACAGACATAAACATTCCAGCACTTCTATGTTGATTTAGGTTTCTAGAGTGCTCTTAGGTCAACATTTATAATAAAAAAATATACCCAGCTACAAGTGCCGCGAGTAGATGACGGGATGATTTGGGAGCCCGTTAAGAGAGAACTGAGAATATCGGTTTCACTGTCACGCGACAATCATTACTCGCAAATGGTGGGAAAGTGATGCCCTTTACCGTGTGGACCATGTGGCTTGAAGGGAACTAAGAGATGGCTCTGTAGTGTCTGCTTCTGAGCACCATTCGCTATCATGAAGGGTCACGTGGCTCTGGGAGGGACCTGAAGGGATCCTTCTTGTCATGGGCCCCAGAAACCAAATTAAAACTAAACTATTTTTTTATTTTACCAGGTAAGGCCCATTGAGATGCATAGCTCATCACGTGGAAATTGATAGCAAACACTCTAAATGCACGTGGTTCTAAATGTGGAGGGGAAAACCGTAGGACGCAGAGAAAAATCCACAAGACCACGGGGAGAGAGACACGCAGACTCCAAATATACAGCAGCAGGCGTGAGGGTCGGGATCGAACCCCCAACCTCCTGTATACCGTGGCCCCCGATAGCATGATCGGGGTAGAATTGGTGAACATGGCATGATCTCCACTAGCGGAAGCCCCAGAGAGCCCCTGTGGTGGGTTACTGAGCTCTTCCACACGAGCCAGACTTCTTGTAAGAGGTCGGAGTAGCACCACTCCACCCCGCTGCAAGCGACACACAGATCGACTAACTGCGGTGGAACACATGCACAGTGTTCGGTCGACAGACATGGGGAGAGTTAAGATAGTGTGTGCACGTATGTTAACTTGCAACGTACACGGGCATGAATACACATTGAGTACAGTAAATGTACACACGCAAGTCAAGTCTGGGACCGCATTGGCAAGTGTAGAACTGTGGACTGGCCACATTACAGCCGATATATGTGTACGAAACTAAAGTATGTAACACAGCACATGACCCGGCTCTTTTTAACTAATTAATGTACAACCCCAAAAAACAAGCTTGTACAGAAAGGTAATCTTCAAACATTTATACCGTAATACGTTTGCTAAAGATACTTTTTTTTTCCTGATTTCATTTGACAGAAGCAAGTTTTTTTTAAAACCGACCTTTCAATGTTTTCATAACAATTTTACACATTGCTTGCATGAACATAATGAGTCTAAAGTTACAGTTACTCCGGCGATGACAAATACCGAGCTAAAAATATCTCATCAAAGCATGCCAGTCGTTCCGACTCGCGCGCACACCCCACGTCATCCCGTCGAACCCTCCGCGCGAGTCGAGGATTGTCTCATGGATCTTGCTATTAGACTCTGTGGAGCTCTTATCGGAAAACACCACCAACCACCAAGGTACGTAGGTGGACTTCTGCACAAATCTGGCTGTCGCCTGATTAAGCTAGTTGTAATTACTGGCCAAACGTCGTACTCAGATTGTAAATGTTGTGGTTTGGCTCTCGAACACACCGGTGTTGCTGTACTCGTGACGAATTGGCCACGTTCTGTTTACGTGACAAACCTTACTAGTTGGCTGTGTCGGTTGGTGGCGGGTTTAACGACAAATTAACATATTAACGCGATCTAACCCAAAAAAAATCTGTATTATGTACGTAGTAATGCTGACACGCGTGATGCCACACTGCCGATGTAGGCAGCCCGAATAGGTAGCTGTGTACCGTGACCCACCAGCACGATGTCTGATGACTCCACTCCACCTACCGGGGGATCTTTTTGTTAACTAATACATATTTACAGCTAAAGAGGCTCCCAGCACGTGGAGCGAAACGTCGGACAATGCGGGACAACACGAGGTGCAACAGGAATACGCATCTGGAGGGCAAAGCTCATAACATCACAACCGTGACAAACTGCGTGGTGGTAAACCCAAATTGGACTTCTCGCACATTTATGAGCTGTTGTCAAACAAAAATAAATGTAAATTAATAAAATAAAATACACAAATGTGTGATGAAGGCCCCAAGCCATCGGGGTTGTTTGACCATACTTCACCACGCTGGTCAGTATGCGTTGGTGAAAAGGGGCTACTCAGGAGCAGTGCAGATACCATTCACCACTGATGTTAGCCGTGGTCAGGAACCAAATTCAGGTCACCAGGTTCACAGTGCCACACACTAACCACAGCGCCACCGCTCCACCCCAGAGCTATTATGAGACTGAAAAAAAACATTGCCGGGCACCTGCCACATCCCGGTCTTATTTAAACGTATGACCTTGAACCACTCAACACCGGCTTACTTACACATTTGTTAGTCTGCTCTTCAGCAGTTATTCAATGTCAAGTATACGGAATTAAAATGTGGTCTACCACGTTTGAAAACCCAACTCATTAAGTAAGGTGCAAGTGCCAACGAAAGACTTGTTCAAATCACGTGTTGCAACCGTGACACTTCCATTACACAACAATTGCTCAATTTTATTGTATCCATACATCAAAAGTGTTTTCAAACGCTGCACGAAGATTACTACCGCAGTTACATGGAATCTAACGAGCGGTAACATCGTGATGTATTTGGGGCGATATAAATGAACTGCCATAATTACGAATGCCCAACTACTCACAGGGCCACGTAACATATATGTTGAGTATTTTTAGGTTTCGCACAAGCGAATTGGTGGAGTGATAATAAGTGTGCAGTACTGTACTCGCAAAGAGAAAACTTTAGTTTGATAACGCAGCGAGGTTAACATCATGCTCCCCCCCCCCCACTCACCAACCCACAATGACCAGAATGGTGAAGTATGGTCAAAACGTACATAACCGTCGTGGTTGGGGGAGGCTATAATCTATCAGTAGATTGGCAAAAGGCTGAAAATAATGATTATTCACGTACGCTTTAAACGTAATGAATGGGATTTTCAAAAAAATAATACTATCATTGATGCAATTATCACATTGCATTATCTAGTTGTATTTTTGTGAACAAGAAATATATGAGTTCAAGTACCGCTCAGGACATTCATAAAATGTGTTTCACACCTTGTCACACGCCTCGTGTATTGCATCATTTCTTCACGACAACGTGTTGGACCGACTTGGACATTTTACATTTTAGCCACCATAAGTGCCATTAAGTAACAGCCGACTGACGTTAAGCTAGGAGCCTGTGGTCTTGGGAGTCATCTCATTGTTGGTGTTGTCTCTCCGTGATGCGATTGAGCTCTGTGAAGTACATTCCATCAAACATGACAAATACGATGGTATTTTTATTATAATCAGGAGAGATTCCCAATAATTGACTAAAACTAAAACGTGAGAGAAAATTATTTGCTGGATTAAATAATGCCACTTTAACTGTATTTTCGAACATTTTTAACTGCGTTTAAAAATAAACATGACATTTACAGACTGCCAACAATCTAAATGTTCAACATGTGTACAAAAAAGCACGCTCCTTTTGTAGCTGTAGCCGTTATCGACGTGCGAGTTCACGGCATGTCTTTGCGAGATAAGATTCTTCTGTGGGACTTCTGGACAGGAATGCTGCCCGGTTAGGGGACAACCTTAAAACAGGTCTGTGAAAAGTCACTTAGCGACGTGGTTGCAGGGGGAGAGAGAGAGAGAGACAGAGAGCGAGGGGTGGGTGGGGTGTGTGTGTGTGGGTTGGGGTGTGTGCGTGTGGACGAGGAGGGCTTCCCACATGAGTCATCGAGTGCATGTGACAGCCCGCGTCTGGCGGCCGGTATGTGCATTTGTGAATGGGGAAATAGGAGGAGCCCGTCGAGCAACTGCTGCCACCCAGAGCACGCGCGTGGCTTGGGTCCTTCCCCCTCGCGGGCCCGGCCCAGCCACTCGCAACCCAAGCAGGAAGGGAAAACGAAGCAGCAGCAGCAGAAGAAGAAAAAGAAATAAAATATTTAATGAAAAGTTCCATGGCCTAGGCACTCCCCCCCCCCAAACTCATGGTCCGTGAGTGAGGCTCGTTGTGCGCAAGGCTCCCGGTGTTCCACCCGCCGACACGCGCACGGGCATCATCATCATCCTCATCCTGTGCTGCAGCCACTCCACCCGCTCACCGCCTCGTGGCACCGGGGCCAGTCCGGACTGGCCCAAGTAAGAGCAGCGTGCTGCTGCTGTAGCTGCTGTACGACCGACAGGGAGAGCGAGAGAGCGAGAGAGAGAGCCACGTCTCGGGGCCTAAGTTGCCAGCGTTCAACAACGACAAACTCGAGGATGAAACCAGAGCTGTACACGGCGAGGCGAAGGTGACGCGAACCTCAGCGAAAGACCCCCAAGGCTCTGCCGGACGGAGGTGAGTAGCGCGGAGTCTGATGATACTGCCTGTCCGAGCGCTGCTCTTCTCTCTCTCTCTGTCCGTCTCTCGTCACCGAGTCGCCTCGAACTTGACGGCACTTTGACTTACAGCATTCTCAAAGTTGACTGCCAAGTAGGTAAGCGTGGCTTGTTGAGTTACTACACTGCGCATCTTACCCGTCCTGAGATTCACCATCGCTGCGGGGTATAAAGTGTTCTTCGTTGCGTTTGTTAAAGCTTAGGTGGCACGTGTGCGCGCGTGTGCGTGTTTAACCGGCTTTCACATCAAAGAGCAAAGTCATTCAGTGGCGTGCACACCGGCCGTGTACGCGGGGCTGAAGCCACCGCTGTGCATGGTCGAGTGTCAACTTCACTCGATCCAAAGTCACACTCGTTAGCTGCTTGTCGCACACTTGGACACAAGGTGACACACACACACACTCTCGTTGGAGTTTATCGTAAGGCGAGCGTTGTGTTGACAGCCGCACACCGATGTTGCGAAACTCCCTGCTAATCCGAGGTTGCCCCACGCCCCCTGGATCGTCGGGGAAAGGGGGGCAAATCGCCATCTGTTTCCATCTGTGCGGGGACAGGGCGTTGCGCCTTTGCGCGCGTGAGGTTTCTCCTGCCACTTGCATAGGCACTCGTTAATTGGGTGGAAACAGCTTAGAATTAAGCCGAATTAAGGACCTTCCTAAAATAAATATACCACGACGCAGTTGTTACTTTCCTGGATAAATAAGTAAATTATTATAATTGAGTTCCGAGGTGATGCACTGTATTATGAATTCATGCAACACAGCACGGTGGTGAAATACTAATCCTCCATAATGTATTCGGTGTCAATAATCGCACCATTCCATATTAATCTGCAATACAATTGCAAAATGTCTCGCATGAGACTTTTTGCCCAACAAAAATAGAATGTTACCCCAACAGTTGAATCGGCGTTCCATATGTTAAAATGTACATCCGAGTCAAATGATCGTTGCCCCTAAGACAAAGGTCAGTGCATTGTAATTCTCTGCTCGCCACGATGGGAGGGCCACACATCGTATTTTCTTGAAAATGTCCACTCGAGAGAAGTATTAAAGTCCACTTTGTCATCTCAAATGTTACAACTCCCGGGGATTGTTCTAGCCTAGGCATTGCCAACTCGTGTTTGCTCTTAAAACGTAAAGTGACAGACATATCATGCCTTCTCACTTGTAAAAGTACCTCGAATTAAAGGTCACGTTCGCGACCCCGTTGCCCATGGCTCCTCGTTTCCGCGGGAGCCAGCGTTTGTGAAAACTCATCTGGCCCCTAATATTCATAATGAAGGTTTATTGGGTTAGATATCTCAAGTATAAATGTGTCGTTAACCCAACACCACCCGATACAGCGAACCGGCAAGGTTCGTCACGTAAACAAAACGTGCCAATTCGTTACCAGTGGAGCCCACTCACAACATTTTAACAATTTGTGAGTATTGAGATGTTTCGCTGGTAATTACATCCAGCATCATCGGGCAATTTTGCCAGAATTGTGGCAACACTTGTAACTGTTGTGGATACACTCTCCAACACACCGGTGGGCTGAAATAATAACGAATTGGCACGGTTTATTTTACATGACAAACCTTAAATTTTGATTTAAAGCTTTCGTGACTGCAGGGATTCATATTCTTGGTTCTTTCGGTAAAGTCACGTAGAAGGGAAATAATAAAAGAATATGAATATAAAACAATATTGTTTTATACTTATTTAATTTTATTATTTCCCTATATAAACAATATTGTTTTATATTTATATTATTTTATGATTTCTCTTCGACGTGACTTTACCGAAAGAACCAAGAATATGTGACAAACCTTATTGGCTGTTTCGGGTGGTGGCGGGTTAAAGACACATTTCACTAACGCGATCTAACCCAAAAAAACTTGTATTGTGAATAATATTGGTCGCGAAAGCCGACGTGTCAAACTGGCTCCTAATATCCCTACCATCAGAAATTCTCTTTGCAGATAAGTGGAGTAAAATTAGTGGATAACATCGCGGATAATAGGATCCGCAATGTCCGTCCCCCACATCACGGCGGATAAGAGGAGCTCAACTTTGGTATGCTCTAGGAGTAACTAGTAAGTGTGTGAAACCACATGGATTTGTTGGGAACCTGAAAACGATCCCCAAATTGGAATTTTTGTTGAGGCCCTAATTAAGGAATGTAATTATCCCAAATATTATACGCAAAATCACAAAGCCATACAGAAAACTAGATTATTGTTCTGATGTGACATCATTGAAGTGGCAGAAAAACAAAGGGGTTTAGCCCCCTTGCTGTTAAAGGTTGAGTAATTGGTTCAAGCACACCCAGACCACCCCCACACAATCTCTTAAATTCCACATTAACAACCACGGACTCAAGATTGTGTGTGTGTCTGGCCAAAGTTGACGCTTGGCACTTAACACAGTTATGTCAGTAACAGTTTTGAAAACAATTAGTGTATTGGAATTATATAAATGTGTTGCTAAAGTCCAACTTGGCTTTGATGGGGTTTTTTTTACCTTCGGGTTGTAGCATGTTGTTTGTCTGGTACAGCAATCCGACGTTTCGGCTTCACGTGCTTGGAAAGCTTCCTTAGAGGAGAGCTCAGTTTCGAACGAAGTTCTCGGGCATGTGGAGGGAAATGTCATAAAATCGTGCCGAACACGGGCATAAACTCAGACCCATCGCACGGCACATGCGGCACAATCGCCCTAACCTACGGCAATTAATACTTCCTGCATGTTGATAATGTCGGCTATTAATAAAAACAAATTGCTTCTAAACTACTACAGTAAGTTACGTTGGCAGTCATTGGCACATAAACAAACACTGCACGCCTCAAGCAATCGGAATGCTAATACAAACACAAATGTCAACAACAGAGTAGATTGCAATCTCAGAATAGGGTTCATCCAGACCGCGTTGGTCCGAGTGACAATTCCTGCTGTTGCAACAAAGTTCTCGATCAGTGCAGGGCAGTGTCTGCTGGAAGCTGCCTGTTTTAAGTATTGTTATGCCAGCTTGTTTCTGTTCCAACGTCAGGGATGGAGGCGGGTGTGTCACAGTGGTGAGCGACCCGAGTTTGAATCCTGACCATGGCTGACATCAGTGGCAAGTGATGTCGGAACTGGTCTCGCACCACTCCTTCACCAACGCACACCGATCCCTGTGGTGAAGCCTCGTCAATAAAACCCCAGACCAACAAAGTGTTGGGAGGCCTGATTCCACTGGGGAATTGGGAATGACTAGATTTGCATCGTACATATATGTCGTGTGTATATATACGCACACGTAGAGGTACTGGGTAATCCAAGATTATTACATGGGGGAGCAGTGGTGCAGTGGTTGGTACACTCTGCTACGAAGCCGGAGAATCTGAACTCGCCCTTCACCTATCTGCATAGACCAGCATGGGGTAGTATGGTCAAGCAATCCTCACCACCATCACGGCACAGGGAGACCCAACATTTGCAGTGTATGGAAAAGGTTCTGAACATTATTATACATTTAATTAACATACAAACATTTGCCACTTAAAACATTGCAATCCATAAACTGACCAATTCAATTTAATTACATTTTCCTCTTTTTAGGTGATGGGACTTTTTAGCTTGCATGATTGCACAGTGCATACCTTGTCATAACCCCGCGTGGAGTTGCACTAAATGCCGTATTACTAAACATTTATGAAAGCCAGCAGCACATGGGCCTGGGAACTTTAAACATCGTCATGAGTGACTTCCTTTGGTACATTACGCATCGACTAATTTTCGTTCTTTCATTGCCACTGCCCCGAAGACTGACCACAGCGTGCGTGTGTGCCGAAACACGTGTGCGCCGAAACACGTGTGTGCTGTTAAAGTCTGCGTCATGGCCATCGGTGCTCTTGGCATTTGTTTGACAAACAATTACAGAGACGAGTGGCCGCTGTACATTCCCAGACAGCAGTTTCTTTTTAATGTGAACAATTCATGATTTAGTCCAAAGAGAAAATAATCCTACGATGGTTTTCGGATTAGTACCCCGCGTGTTGTCCAGCACGTTGTCCGACGTTTTGCGCCACGTACCGGCAGTTTTTTAATTTCCTGAAGGGGATCTGAGCTCGTGACGAACAGCGCACAGGACAACCCTAAACGCACCATAGAAGAACTGTACAACACAACCGCGGAAACCTCGAGTAGCGACCGTGGAAGTTATCCGTGCACATGAATCCATGTAACGTTATACGGAGCACCATCGAAATGTGCACTGGACATGTAATTGACTCGTAACAGCTTTGAAATGTTTTACATTTTCACCATTTAAAGTCGAGTAATAGAAGGTAACTCAAAGGATGGCTTGTGAATGTAATAATATTCTTGGTTTCACACCTGATGATGATTGCTTGTGTTGCAGTCGAAACGTCGTGAGAATTTTTATTGTTTTGTATTTATATTTTTTTCCCCTTCTACGTTACTTTACCGAAAGAACCAAGAATATGAATCCCTGCAGTCACGAAAGCTTTAAATCAAAATTTAATGTAATAATAATTGATAACAATGGTCGAACAGCTTTCCGTCAATTCACGGCCAGGCGAAAGCCTCCCCATGCTCTGTCAGTCATGGGATTGTTATTTGACCGTATTCACCGTGCTGGGTCAGTGCCGGTTGTTGAAATTGACGGGGGGGGGGGAGGAACGGGGTAGCCCAGGACCGGTTCTCGCCGCTGACGTTCGCCTTGTCCAAGCTCGAACTCGGTTCATCGGGTTCACAGCAGCAGTGCAGCAGCCAGCGCGCTATCGCTCCAGCCTGCCAGGTTTCGATTACGTAACCCAGAGAATGGCACGCGCCAGCTACCACATTCCATAACAGTTGTATCATAACGCATCCGTTCAATAATCATGCCAACTTATTGAATCGGAAAAGGCTCGTCGAGTTTCGAGATTCTCGAAGCAAAACGTTCTTGCACTGGCACGTGTGGCTGCTTCCATGA